AATTGTTCTGTTGCTATCTGTTATTTTTCTGTAGTTCTAAGACTGTAAAAAAATTACCCATTACTATTTCCCCCCATCACTATCCAATAAATAACCTCTCAAGTTCCCTACTCCAACCATGACACTCTAAAAACATTTCTTTGTAGGTAGAATTTTACATTGCTTTCATCCTGAGATCAGGACCCCTACTGTGTTCCACTGACTCCTCCCAGTGCCCCCCTCACTCCCAGTCTGACAAGCGGGTGTGTCTGTCTCTTTAGGAACGACTCAACCGCCGGAGCAGGAAGCTCAGAAAGGACATTGCAGAACTTCAGCGACTCAAGGCTCAGGAGGAAAACATACTGCAAGCTCTGCAGGTGGGTCTTTCAGGTTCCCGGGAAGAACTCCCTGGAGTGTTCTCAGGGGCTCTTACTTAACTGTTCTGGACATCTGTCTGTCCCTGGAAAAGCCTGGTGTGGGCAGATAGTCGTGGAGGCTGAAAACCTGGGTTTTGGCCTTGGTGTCAAAGTTTGCTGGCTGAGTGACCTACGCAAGTTAAGCCCTCTGATCTTTATGTGACTTATATGTTAAATGAGAACCAGTCCTACTCTGCCTGGCTCACAGTAAGGATCAAAGGAGACCAGTGTCTCGTCAATTGAAAATTACTACACAAGCAGTAGGCCTCCGTTTCTGTCTCTGACAGTCTACCTTTCTATTCCTCTTGGTCACATGGCATCTGTAGATATTTAGAGAGTGAGGTGGAAAGGGGAGGTGTCCCTGCTTTTATGAGAATCACAGCTGCTTCTGCAATACCTGTGACACACAGAGGCAACATCATGAGGGGAAGAGGATTGAGGAATCCCCTTTCCTGCTCAGACATTCAGAGACTGTGAATGGCCAGGAGGGAGCCACCTGACACTGAGTCTTAGGGAGCCCCTTTCCTGTAGTTTCAGATAGACCATGGGAACCACAGGCTGGAGGCTGGGCTGGAGAGCCAGCACCAAACCAGGGAACAGCTGGATGCCCTCCCTCAGCAGTGGCTGGGCCAGCTGGAGCACATGCCAGCAGAAGTGGCCAGAATCCTTGACATCTCCAGGGCAGTAACACAGCTCAGCAGCCTGGTCATTGATCTGGAGAGGACGGCCAAGGAATTAGACACCAACACACTGAAGGTGCATACCCTGAGGCTTCCCCCAAGGGCTGGGTTTCTCCCCGATAGTAGGCAGCCCATCTGCATCACCCTTCTGGGAGGTTTAAGAGGGAGGGGCCAGTGTGATATGTGGTGAGTTGTGGTAGACGTGGCTTGTTCCAGGCTACAGAGTGCTGCTGCAGCAGAATGGGCACAGAAGAGGGGTGTTGCTATGTTCCCCCAGTTCTCAAGGTGGCACCCCAGAGTGGCCTCCAAGAGTGAATTGGGAAAGGAATTTGGAGGTGATAGGAACCTGAGAACCAATTATGATTCTCGCTTTTTCTCTCTTCTAGAATGCTGGTGACTTACTGAACAGGTATGAGCTGTCCCTTCTTCTTTCCCACATGTGCATATAAACCCACACATCACAGACATGCACAGGGTCTTCGTCACGGTCAAGGAGACCCACTGCTCCATTAGCTTTTGTGTCTGGATGCTACATGGCCAATGGAAGAGTCAATGAAATACATGAATACTTATTAATCTATGAAGGATTTCTTTGTTTCTAGGAGCGCTCCACAGAAATTAGAGATTATTTATCCCCAGTTGGAGAAAAGAGTCAATGAATTGCTTCTTCAGCCATCCTCAGAAGCTCTGACCTGTTCATCCCTGGGACACCTCACTTCACGCTCACCTCATCCTCCTGTCTCTCCTTTCTCCAACCTGTCCAGGCCCCCATTAGATCTATCCAGTGCATCTTCGGGCTTGCCAGCTCCTGAACAAGTCCCCATTTCTTCATGCCCACCATCATCACCTGATGCCTGACCCTCTGACTCTTGGACAATGGTCAGCCCCCTTCTAGGACAGGCTCATGCTTGGGGCTGCCACTGTGGAGGTCGGGGCGCATGGTCTCCAGGACCATTTGTGAAATCTCCATTTTGCCTGTGAACTGACAGTAGTGCCCATCTCTCATAATCTCATTAAAATAGGATCCTCCAGGCCTCTGAATGGCCTGAGCTCATCAGCAGTGACGCCACCTCACATATGGAGCCCAACTGAGCTCCTGCAATACTTGTTGTCTGCACCAATCACCTGGCACTTATTTATTATTGTTGTGGAAGACAGACTCAAAGACAACCTCCCTTCGTGATCCTCACCTCTTAGAATTAATGCCCTTGTTCGGTCCCCTCCCCTTGAGTGTAAGTGGGATCTGTGACTCACTTCAAATCAATAGAATAAGGCAAAAGTGATCGGGTGTCACTCTGGCAACTGTGTTGCATTGTATAGAACTCCTCCTTGCTGGCCTGCCCATTTAGAGCCCCTCCTAGGAGCCAAGAGCAGTCTCCAGCCTCCAGCCAACAAGCAGAGGCCCTCAGTCTTGTGGCTGCAAGAACTTGA